GTAATCTCAGTAGAAACATGGCTTCAGAGAGCCGGAGGTCAAGTTCAAAACCACATGGACTTAGAATCAGAAATTTTGAGTCTGGAACCTAGCTCACCCTAATTGTATATAGTTTGAGCCAACTTTCTTAAACCATGAGTCCATGTCTCCACGTGTAAGACGGAAACAAATGGTTGTGGTGAGGGTTAGTGATGATATATGAAAACCCTAATACAGTACTTAGCACAAAGTAGGCTTATGTACACAAAAAAAACGTCTCCACGTGTAAGACGGAAACAAATGTTAGTGATGATATATGAAAACCCTAACACAGTACTTAGCACAAAGTAGGCTTATGTACACGTTGGTTTTCCATTTATCTTTTCTTATCTAAGAGCAACAGGAAGACCTGAAAGTAAAACAAAGCATCGGGTCTGAGTGCAGTATTCTTTCCAATGTCCTACGTGATCTTTCCTGGTACCCTGGCATGGAGTTGATTCATGTAGGGAGGAAATACAAAGAAGAAAGGCCAGGGAAGCCCATTTCCATACCTGGGGTACTGGGTCAATGGGCTTAGGAATGAATTTTAGAAATAACTGGGCATTAAAAAAAAAAAAAAGAAATACCTGGGCATTATCTTTGGAGTCAGAGCTGGGGTCAAGTTTTTCTGATATAAACTAACTCTATAATACATTGAACCAAGATTATTTAAGAGATTATTTAGGATTCTTTTTATTTTTTTCTCCAACCCTATGAAGACTTTTCTGAATAGCATACCTGTCTTCTCTTTCTTCCCTTTTTATCTCCTCCAGTGGGAGAAAGAATGAGTTAGATGACTGATGAGTTTGGAAGAAGGAAGCAGGTATGGCCTGCTCTGGGCCCTTTGCACTCTCTCTGGGAAGTGTTTGTCTTCAGGACACATGCTCAGGCCTGCCCTTTCTCATACAGGAAGAGGCTCACTCAGGTAAGTGGGGGCCTAAGTTGTTCCATCATGCTATCGTGACTGGACATGTGAATGTCAAAGGGAAAGGATGATCAAACCCTTTTGGCTTCATGGTCAATTCATGTCCTTGAAAGTAGCTTTCAGCAATAAAAAACAAACAAAACCCAAACACAAAAAACAAAAACCTGACTCTTTCATCTCCATCAGTACCTGCTGCCTCTCACAAAGACAGTAGAGAGTGACTTCCTTAAATTCCCACTGAATTTCTCTGAGACTCAGATTACTCCTTCATAAAATGGGGTTTCAGAAGCCTACCCCAGAGAGTAGTTGTTTTGGTGACTGAATAAGCTAACAGCGCAACGGTTTTGTATGGGCGACAAAACCTAAGCAGTGGCTTCCTCACTCACCTGGGGTTCCTGTATTTGCGTTGATGAAGACTTCGAGGGCTTCCTATACACAGTTAGTATCTGAGTTTGCACTTCCTGAGGAAAATCTGGGAACAGCTCTTGGTATTCTTTAAACCTACCAGGAGGAGGTCAGGACTGTCACAGAAGGCCAAAGCCTGGCAGACCAACAGGAGCAGCCAAGGCAAACCTATCTCTGCTTTTGGAGGAAGTCAAAGTAGAAATTGGGGAACATCAAGATAGTCAAAAATAGTCTCCTTAATATTTCCATCCTTTGCTAATGTCAGCCTGCCCTTCCCATCGATGCTATATTGTTCCTGTTCAGACAAATGAACAGAAGTGTGTGTGTAAGAGTGTGTGTGTGTGTGTGTGTGTGTGTGTGCATGCCTGCACATCCATGTAGGTAGGTAAGAAGGTTCAAGATAAGTTTGGCTTTTCTTTTGTAGGGAGGCTCTGATGATGAACTCTGTGAGTGTATTATGAGACTTGAATCATGTGGCTCGCAGCAGCCAATGGGCAGCTCCAGAAAGGCTCACTGCCTCCACTAAGCAATACTCACCACCTTTCTTCCAGAGATTTCATGACACAGCTCTGGAGGATTAACAATGAGTTTGTGCTGAGACGGCCCTTCTGAGAGACTTCTCTGATGATAGGGTCATCACACTGCAGCATTTCTTCTAGAAAATTACATGGAGAGGAGGAGAGAGGAGGGGAGAGGGGGAGGGGAGGGGAGAGAAGCCATCATCTCTCGTCTATCATTTCTGAAGTAGCTGGTGTTTTTTTCATCTCAGAGTCTTACAGTCCCTTATTCTCAATCTGGTTAGACTGATCTCTCCACAGATTGCTTGAAAATCTCAAACACATCTTCAGGTGTTACGTGCAAGAGTATTTGTAGAGCAAATATGAATTTACAGGGTCGGATCTACCCTCCCACCTTAGGCAAGAAAACAAGGCAAAATTTATGAGGATTTTCCAAGGGATAGCTCTGCTTCCTGGCACAATTACCTTTATAACCAGTGAGTGGTGGACACGCTTGCTTTGCATACAGTTTACTCTCGCTTTTGTATCTAACTCCAGTGTAGTTGATTTGAAGGTCAAACAACTTGAGTCTGAATTCAAGTTGCACCAATTGGATAAGTTAGTTAGCTCCTCTGTTTCACCTTCCGCATTAGTTAAGTACAACTACTTATCCCTACCTTTTAGGGATTAAATAAAATCCCATTTCAGGGTAAAATTAACTGAGAGTATGTATTTCACATATAAATGCAAGTGTTTTGCACTTGGCTTCTTTTACTACCAATATTTCTAATTGATTGTTGTGCCGTGCTTTCACTATCCCTCTTAATCTTTGTTTCAATACTGCCCCATGTGGCCGCTATTCTGTTATGCTCCCTTAGGAGACTCAAGACCAGCTCTTTTCCAGACTCTTCTATGATACTAAAGAGAGAAGCAAACAGTATCAGGGGGAAGCTGCATACCAGCAGGGACTATGCCAGAGAAATAAGTCTCCATTATATTTTCAACAAGAGACCTGGAGACCTGTTGGTCTGTCTCAATACTGATCTTCTGTAATGCCATCAGGAATTGCAATGGGCCCTCAGCCTTCCGTTCTTTGAGGAACTCCGTGAAGTACTCCAAGTGCTGTACATTTCGAAAGATTTCTGCCAGGTTTCTGGAAACAAGAAAGCATCACTGGTTGAGAGAATGGATGGTGACCTTGAATTCTGTTTCACTTAAGGAAAGGGGAAGGGCTTCTCCCGGGCTGCGGGGCCTTTAACTATGTGTGAAGATCAGGGTGAATGAATTGGTTACTCTTATTTCCTTGTAGATAAATTTGTATGTGTCCATCCTAAGCGTGGTTCAATCATTTGCCAACATCAATGGAAGAGGATGAGAGGTATTTTAAAGGGGCTAATTTTTTTTTTCTAGAACCACCTTCTTTCTGCATTATGGATTCAAAACAACCCCTAACTGGCAGTCATTTCAGTGGGTAGAGCAAGAGTGATCAGCAATTATTGATCAATATTTCTAAATTGCCTTTGCTGAGTTCTTTTTCACTGTTCCTTAAATAAAGGTGCCCCTAATGTTTCATTCTCAATCCTCTTGAATTTTCCCTTATGACTCCTCCCTCTCCCCTCCCTGCCCCCAATTCTTACCTCCTCTGTGATCTCAATTTTCATTGATATGGTAAAACTATGTTTCTAGTCTTTTTGTCATTCAATAGTTTGATTTTAATGTGCCTAGGTGTGAATATTTTTAAGTTTATCCTACTTGGGATTCATTCAGCTTCTAGTATGTTCTGAGTAAGTACTCAACCATTGCATATTCAAATATTTTTCCTGCCCCTTTATCTCTCTCCTGATATTTCCATTATTTGTATGATGGTGTCTCACAAGTCTCTTATTTTGTGATGCTTTCACACTGCATAATGTCTGCTGAGCTAATTTTAAGTTCACAAATTCTTCTGCCAACTCAAATCTGTTATTGATTCTTTCTAGTGAATTTTTCATTTCAATTATCATACTTTTCCAATGTTTTATTTGGTTCTATTTTATAATATTTATCTTATTAGATATTTTCATTTGATGAATCATTATCATAGTACTTTCCTTTAATTTTTTTTTTTACTTTTAAATATATTTTATTGATTTTTTACAGAGAGGAAGGAAGAGAGATAGTTAGAAACATCAATAAGAGAGAAACATCGATCAGCTGCCTCCTGCACATCGCCTACTGGGGATATGCCCACAACCCAGGTACATGCCCTTGACTGGAATCAAACCTGGGACCTTTCAGTCCACAGGCCGATGCTCTATCCACTGAGGCAAACCAGTTTCAGCCCTTTAATTTTTTTAAAACATGCCACAACCTTTAATTTATTGAACATATTGCTTAGAAGTTCTTAGAGTTCAATATCTGGATCACTTCAAAGATAAAAGTTTCTAATGAGTGCTCTTTCCCCTCTGTGTACGAGCCATCCATTCTTGTGTGTTGTTTTTTTGGGGGCAGGGGGGGGAGATGGGGGTATGCATAATTTTTTAACTGAAATTTTAGATGACATAATTTATAGAGTTCTAAAATTTTTGACAGGTTTGTCCAGTTTTACCATTGGAGAGATAATTTTTTGAGGTTCTTACTCTACCATTGCAGAAGTCCAATTCCTCACCTTCAGTGTTTTGTTTTGTTTTTTAATCTGTATCTTCCCTTCAGTATCTACTAGAGGCCTAGTGCACGAAAATTTGTGCACTTGGTGGAGGGTCCCTCAGCCTGGTCTGAGCTCTCTTGCAGTCCAGGAGTCTCAGGGGATATCCAACTGACGGCTTAGGTCCACTCCCCTAGAGTAGTGGGCCTAAGCCACAGTCTGGCCTCCCTCTGCAGGAGGTGACCCCTGCGGGCTGATCTGGGGATGGCAAGATCTGGGGATGGCAAGTGCAGGAGGCAGCTGGTCAATAATTCTCTCTCATCATTAATGTTTCTCTCTCTCTCCCTCTCTCCCTTCCTCTCTGAAATCACCAAAAATACGGCAAAAACAAACAAACAACATCAATTAAATAAATAAATAACAAATGAATGACTGAATGAATGTCCTGGCTTATAAGAAAATGTTAGTCAAGAAGGTAGTAAACATACCTAAAAAATAAAGAGCAGTACAAAATAGTACATGGTAAGTGTTTGGGGTTATATTTTAGGGATTTAGTGTTTCAGAGGAGAGGGAGTCATACATTTGGATCACTTCTATGTAGAGGTGGCATTTGTACTAAGAAAAGTGGATAAAGGTGAGGGGGCACTCCTGAAAGCACGGGCCACAGAGTCTTTGCCAGCAGTGGGATCTTACCAGAGGCCGACTCTTGGATTGATTGTGAGGGGGAGAGACAAGAAGTAAGGAGCCAGTTAGGAGGCTTCTACAGTCACACGCAATCCAGAAAACACAAATATGCAAGGATACATGCACAGAGACGAATATTATGGTACTGCTGATAACAATAAAAAATTGAAGATAACATAAATATCCATGAAAAACGTAGTTAAATAAATCATGCTCCATCCATTCGATGGAAGAGAGTAGACCTGTATACATATTGACATGAAAGGATGTCCATAATAGTTTTCTATGTTGAAAAACTTATTGTATAATACATATTGCATGGTGCCAGGTTTCAAAAACATACAGTGATTTAAAATACTTAGTATGCTTGTGCATGTATATGTGATATATGGAAAAGAGTGTGGACATTAACACAGAAAAATAGGCTCATGCTGAACTCCAGGGCTGTGCCTGGAGATATTGGTGTCACCAGATCCTATGTCTTACCTGGGTCCGTGTGAAGGCTTCCTTACGGCAGGAATCTTTTTTACGGACGCTTCCTTATGTGGGGGTGAAAGTGTCTTTGGTTCTCTGGTAATTACCTGACGATAGACTTTATACCGGTAATCTAATGAGAAGTCACAACATTGGGCAACACCATGTTATAAAGAACATTGCAGAGAAGAAGGGACAAAGTAGCAAGAGTGCATGTGGGAAAACCACAGTCCGCACAACTGCTGCCATCTCGGGCCATTAGTGCTGGGAGTGCATGGGCCATTAGGGCATAAGAGACTTGGGGAGGATTCCAACCCCTGACCCTAATATCAGTCCAGGCTATGTTATTTACGTCTGCTGGCTATCAGGCCTAGAGCCCACCTTCCTTAGAAAACTGCTGAGACCTACGCCATCATACTTCTTACCATTTCAGCACCAAACAGCATCTCTCCCCAATCAGTCATTTTTACTAGACCGTACTCCACGTCACAGTCTCCCCGGACACCTCTGCTGCCTCCTCCGAAACCCTTCCACTTGTCCTCTGGAACCCCTGCTTTGTCATCAGTAAACTCACGGATTCTTTTTT